TGGAATGGCCCCAGAGGCTGTTTGTGCCACATGCCCATAGAGTCACCATGGGAAACCCTGCGGTACAGCAGCCAGTGTGTCAACCTGAGGCCATCTGCCAGGCCTTCTTCACCAGCCTAGTGATCAGGCCTGCCACATAACCTCACAAGTCTCAGTTTCCCTTTTTAAGCTGGGGAGTGACAGCAATGACCAAATAATGTATGTACTTCACATACGTGAATCTGTAGGTAACTGTCACCTGTGGCACATAGCACATCTCACCCTGCATGTTGTTTCCAGCAAGTCAGGGCTGCCTTGGGCTGCAGCCAGAGTCATCTGTGCTTAGGGCACTAGAGTGAGCAAGGATACCTCCTGACTCCTCAGAAGGGCATTTGGTGGGGTCCATCAGATGACAGAGGCGCACACCCTCTGACTAATGGCTTTGCTTCTAAAAGCACATCCTGGGTTGGATGCTGTGCTGAGTTTTCACACACATGCACACCATGTGGGCCATCACCACACCTGGGACAGGGAACCCCCAAACATTTCCTCTTGCTGGGTTGTAATCCCTCCCCTCCTCTTTCATACCTCCTGACACCTACTGATCAGTTTTCGGTCTCCGTAGATTGATTGACATTGTATAAGATTCTAGCGGAATGAAACCACATGACGTGTTCTTTTCTGTCTGGCCTCTTTCACTCAGCATGTTTACTTTGCATTAGGACCACATGCACAGACAGTGATTGTTTTTACTGCTGAGTAGTCTTCTGTTGCGTAGATATACAATTTGTTTATACATTCCTCTGTTGATGGACATTAGATTTCTCCCAGTTTTTGCCTACTCCTCTAAAACAGCTTTATATTACAAATAAAGTCCTTGTACAGAAATACTTTCTTTTCTCTAGTGCAAATATCTAATTGTGCAATGGCTATGGTTATGTGTTTGACCTGGAAAACTGCCTGCCTCTCTTGCACAGCGGTGTAACCTGTCTCCTTCACACTGGCACTGGGTGGTCCAGTTGCTCCTCACCAGCATCTGGTGTGGTAGGTCTTACTTTCAGTCCTTCCGACAGGTGTGTAGCAGTGTCTCATTGTGGCTTTAACGTCCATTTCCCTAATGACTAATGATGTTGAACACCTTTTCATGGTTTATCTATACATTATCTATACATCTTCTTGGTAAAGTGTGTGTGTTCAAATCTTCTATTTCATTCTTGATTACTTGTTTTCTTATTGAGTTAKAGTTCTTTATATATTTTGGGTAGAAGTTCTTTGTAAGATACTTATTTTGCTTTTCAAAGAGTTTTTGTTTTTGATGAGGTCCAATTTTTTTCGGTTGTTTTTGCATTTGTTTGTTTTCGTGCTTTGTTTTGTTTTTGGTACTGGGGATTGAACCCAGGATTGCTTTACCACTGAGGTGCATCCCCAGCCCTTTTTATTTTTTGAGATAAGGTCTTGCTAAGTTGCGGAGGGTCTCACTAGGTTGCTGAGGCTGGCCTCAAACTTGAGATCCTCCTGCCTCAGCTTTCCCAGTCACTGGGATTACAGGTGTGTGTCACCATGCATCACTCAGTTTTGTCTTGTTTTGATTTGTATTTTATTTATAAAAATCTACAGAATTTTTCTTCTGTAGTTTAGCAATTTTCAAATTGTTGGTTTTACATATAGGTTTATTTACATAAAAAATTTTTTAATATTGTACATGATATGGATTTCAGTTTTTATTTTTCCCTTTAGGAAAACACATTTGTTTCAAATGAAAAGACCATCTTTTCTACATTGGATTGCCTTCATCTATTTATCAAAAATAGGTTTTGGTGGCTCTGTGGTATAGCATATGCCTAGCATACATGAGGCCATGGGTTTAATTCCTAGTGCTGAAAAACAAAACACAAAAAAATAGATTGTGTGTGTGTGTGTGTGTGTGTGTGTGTGTGTGCGCGCGCGCGCGCGCGTGCATGTGCGCATGTATTTGTCTCAGGTCAGTGCCACACTATTTTGATGACTTGACTTTAATGTAACTCATTGAAATTAGATAGTTCTCTGCTTTCATTTTCTTTTTGTTTGATTAATCTAAGTTCATTACATTTCCATAGGAATTTTAGAATCAGCTTGTTGATTTGTACAAAGAAACCTGTGAGATTTTGATTGGCATTGATGTGATTCTGTAGATGAATGTCAGAAGAAGTATACTACTAACCACGATGGTTTTCCCAATTGTAAGCAGGGTCTTTCTCTCTAATTCATAGGTGATCGTAGACTCTTGGTAGCACTTGCAGGTGTCAGTGCATATCTTCCATGGCCTGGTCATGTTCTCTCTTAGTTTTCATGGATTTGGATGCTGTGTAAGTCATATTTTTCAGATAGCTCTCTGGTACTGGTTTCTGGGGAATTTGAATACAGTCAGAACATACTAGAGCTACTCAATTCCTCCTAAACATATTGAGCCTTTTTTTATGGTTTAGTATGTAATCTAACTTGGAAAATTTTTAGAGAACATTTGATAAGAATGTGTATTCTGCTGTTACAGATGAGTAGGTGTAAATTTTATGAAAGTCAGACTGTTGATAATGTTCTCAAGTGTCTGTTCCCTGATTTGGCTAGTTGTGTAGTGACCCTGACTAAGGACGTGTTGATTTCTCCCACTGCCCTGTTGGTTTTGCTCATTTCTTGTGAAGTTGTTTTGTTTGTACTCATGTGCTCCAGATCATACACCCTCTCCTCTCCTTCAGGGATCTTTTCACTGCTGGGAGGCAGCCTACTTGGCAATGGGTTATACTCTGAAGTGCATTGTCTGCTTGAAGCAGCCTGTTCACTTTCACTTCTTGGTTTCCTAGTGACAGCATTATTTCTTTTTGTGTTTCATATTTTAAGTGTGTTTTAGTCAAAAGTCTATAATTGGTGATACCTTTTAATCCAATTTCATGGTCTCTGCCTTTTAGTTGGGGTGGTAGGCGCATTYACATTTAGTACAATTCCTGAAATGAGTAGGTTCCATCTTGCCATCTTTTCTTTTTCTTTCTCACTCTTTGTCCCATCTCTTCTTTGTTCCTGTTTTTCTTCCCTTAAAAAAAAAAATTCAGTGATTCAAAAAATTTTTTTTCACTGTTACTTCAGAGTTATTTCAGAGTTTTAGTGTACATCTCTGACATGGTGCTGTCCACTGTCAAGTGATGCTGTATACCTTCACATATTGCATAACCACCACACTGCTGTCATCTTCTCCTTGAACTGTATGCTACTGTTGTACATTTTACTTCTATTGTCTTAAACTCAGTATGTTTTTGTTAATGACTTAGTATTTTTTTAAAGCTATGAAAACCCCCAATATCTGCCCTGTATCCACTGCTCCTCACTCCTGTGCTTGGATCCTTGTTTTCGTCCACTACCTCCTCCTGCCTGCCCAAGGGCTGCCCTTAACATTTCTCAAAGAATTCCTCTGTCTTTATATGTTTGAAAATCTTACTTTGCTTTTGTCTTTTAAAGATATTTCCACTGAGCATAGAATTCTAGGCTGATTTTTTTTTAAATTATTATTCTCTTAGTTCTTAAAGGATCACTGCTGTCTTCCAGGTGCATAGTGTTGGGTGAACCTCCTTTGCCTCCCACCCCCAGTGGCTGTTCAGGTGTTGCTTCCTGATCACTGGTTTGAGCCCTTTGACTGTTCCATGCCTTGGGTCTGCCATCCTTGTGTCTCTTGCGCTGGGCTCCTTTCCTGGATCTGGGCTTGCGGTTGCCAGGCTTGGACCTGCATGTAGTTTTCTGCACCGCCTCTCCCCTGTCCTCTGGGATGAGTTGCAGGTCCTTCATGCCTTGTGAAGTTGTCCGCAGCTGTGCTTCTGTTCGGAAAGGCTCTCCTCCCTCTGTGTTGTGCTGCAGATCATCTTTTGCTGTTCATAGACCTTCCTTTTGCCAGCTGGTTTACCATGAGTGCCATCCAGTGTGATTTCACCTTAGACACTGTAGCTTCCACCTCTAGAAATGTGATTGGGTTTTTCTATGACTTTCATGTCTGTCCTTAACTGTGCTGTTTTCCACCAGTTTAAATTGCTGCTTTGATGTCCTTGTTGGCCAGTCATGATGTGTGTCATTTGTGTAGCTTTAGCTGATTGATTACTGTCCTGCTTGCAGCCGGTGTTTCTTGCTGCTTCTATGCCTGGTGATCTCTGCTTGGATGGTGGGTGTTGTGAGTTTCAGCTTGTTGGTTCTGGTTAATTTTGTTGTATTCCTATATCTTCTTGATCTATTTTTAGAGGTGCAGGTAGGTTTCTTAGAGTTTTGATTCATCTTTGTGATTTGCCAGGCATCCTGGAGCAGGTCTCAGACTAGAATAACTGCCACACTATGCACCATGGCCTTCCTAAATTCTAAGGGTCTGTGGGGACAGCACTGCTGGTGCTGTTGCCTGTCCTGTCCATAGTTTTGTCACTATGAGCTTCAAAAGACTTCCTGGTTTTTAAGCCAGGTGGGTGTTTTCTATTTAAAAAAAATAACAGTGAAGAGAAACCAGACAGTTCTAGGTGGAGCCCAACCTGCCTTGTTCCTGTCTCCCACCTGGTCCTCATTTTGCCCTCTGGACCGAGGTCACTACAGAACCTGCTTTGTTTGTCATCTTGATTCTTCCCAATCCTCAGCTTTCTCCACACCCCCACATTAGGAATTTGTCCTTGACTTTTCACCCACTTTCTAGAGGCCATGCTCCCATGTCTCAGTGTCCTCTCCACTATGAGCTCTTGCCTTCAGGAGTAGAACTAGGGACATAGGACACACTGGACTCCCACAAGTTTTTGTGTCCTTCTAGCCACATGATGGTCAGCAGCCCCAACTTGGGCAGGTGCTGTCCAGGGCCCTGCCCATGCCTGGGTGATTGTGCATGCTTGTTGCATCCTCCCTGGCAGCCTGGGGTCTCATGTGTGAATTTGGAACTGAAAAATTACAGCTGAGGCTCCTAACTTGGAGCTTGCTGTTGCTCCATGCACTGTAGTGGCTTCCTTGTCTCACAAGTCTTGCCGTCTTTGCAGGTTGAAGGTGGAGGAGCTGGAGGGGGAGCGGAGTCGCCTGGAGCAAGAGAAGAAGATGCTGGAGCTTCAGCTGGAGAGGTGCACCCTGCAGGTAGGCACAGGGCAGCCACGGGACACATGCTGTACCAAACTGGAAACTTCCTCCTGCACACCCTTCTTTACCTGGCTGGAAGTCCCAGGGTCCTACAGAGTGACAGTCTCCTCATCTGGGGTCTTCCTTGTGCCTTCTTTTCCTGTTCCTCTGCACTCACCACAGCACCTGGAGCCTCAGTGTCTGGTGTGGGGAGGGCCCATGGGTTCAGAGTCAAGGGAGGCTTCTCTGTGTGTTTTTAGGTTGGTACCTACACCCACACCCATCACTTGTGGTTGTGACGTTGGGCTGCCGTCTATTCTGTTTCAGTTGACTGACTTTTTAGTTTTCATCCTCCAGACTTAAATTGTTCCATGGAGGAAACCTGCAGGTTTGAGATTGCCCAGTTTTTAGACAGGCCGTTGATTTTATCTTGGCACCTATTAGAGGCAATCAAATCTCCTTTCTGTTACCAATTCCTGGTGATGGGAGAGGTGACAACTTTGATGAAGTGAGACACTCCGAGCTGCAGCTGGACTGTGTGCCTGGCCCTAGGACCTGTCATCTTCTGTTCTAATTGGGCCACAGTCCTCAACTGGGGCTAGTGGCGGGTCAATCCCTGACTGCCTGGCCATGTTGCTGTGTCAGGTTGGATTTTCAGATGTCTTTCTGTGGAGCTAGTTGAACAGAACTTGAGCTTTCACGGCTCGATGACTCCCCAGCCCTCCTGCATGTTAGGCCACTGTGTGTCCCCACCAGAACTGTTCATTCCCCTTTTTCTGCAACTGGGCTTCCAGGCTTTTCCACAAGGGGTCCTCCAGTGGGCTTGGAGAGGTTGTTGAGGAGTAAATGAGACAAGGTACAGGGGAACGCTGTGCCTGGCACCACCACCTCTAAGTGGGAATGCTCTGGACAGGGTCACCTTGAGTATCCCTGATAGGAGTTCCAGGGCAGCACATCTGGTGGTCAGTGCCAGCTACCCTATGCACCTATGTGGGTTGGCATGAAACTGTAGTTAGCCAGGCCTTCTGTGATTATAGAGCTCCATGTGGGCCCTTAATGGGGTGAGCCTCTTGCTGTGAGATGCTGCTCAGAGCTGATGGCTGGGCACCAGCCTGGTAGACCATGGCCCTGTTAGCTCATGTCCACACCTGCTTTCTGAGCCCAGGCCTCCTTACTTCCACAGTACAGTGGAGTGGGGAACCATCATGCAGACAGGCGCTGGGTGTGCGTGTGAGTAATACCCAAAGYATGGCCAAAAGGTTTAGTAGAAGACTGGGCCTGGTGTCCTGAAGAATAGGGTTCATACCATGGCATGATGACCAAGAGCCCAGCCTGGGACTACAGGGATGACTGTCCAGGTGAACAGGGAGGAAATAAGCTCAGAGGCATGGAGGGGGGCTGTGGGATTGGCTCTTGCCATGGAAGAAGCTTCTAGACAGCCCTGCAGCCACTGTCAGCTGTGATTATGCTACTGGAAGCAGATTTTTTAGAGGCAAGCTTGGGGAGGAAGCCACATGGGCCCCGTGGTGTCTTGAGCTTCTCTGGCACAGACTCTTGGCTGCCTGGGCTTCTTCTGGCTGCTTGGAGCCAGGCTGCTTGCCATACTGCAGCCCTGATGTCCTCTTGACCTCAGGCCACAGCAACAGACCCCCAACTCCATGTCCCAGTATTAAGCCACTCCCACCTCCAACAGCACTAGAACTCAGCTGGACTCCAGTGGCACCCAGGGCCACATCTACCCTACACATGGGTGCCATTCAGGAGGATTGGGTGATGGTCCAAATCCCCAGACCACAGTGGTCATCCCTTTGGTGACCACATGCGTCTGCCTTGCACCATACCTACTGTACCTTCCCTGRGGTGAAGTAGTGTGGCCCTGTGTCCCTGGTGAGGAGATGTCTGCTCAGAAATTGAGCTCTTCTGTCAAGGGTGCCTGGGCAGAGGAGTACGGCTGGGGGTGATCTGGGCCCTGTCTTCCTCCCTCTTTGTGCTCCTAGCCTGCCCCTCTGCCTCTCTCACTCTGTGCTCCTAGCCTGCCCCTCTGCCTCTCTCACTCCCCTCTCAGAAGTGCATGAGAACTTCTTGGGAAGGGAAGCCTACATCTGGCTGTGGCCCAGGTGGCCCTATTCTGTTGTGCCAGGTCACCAGTGGCAGCATGAAGACCCCATGCTGGCTGCAGGTGGTGGCCCCAGCTGCACCTGTGCCAGGGTGGTGAAAGGCATCTATCCAGGGCTGAGCTRGTCCTGCTATTGTCACCATAGTAAGAGAAGTTTCTGTCAATCCCCCGTGCCAAAGCATTTTCCATCCACTTGGTAAGAAGGAGCAGTGACAGAAGCCTGACACGGGGACTGGTTTTGCAAAAGGGGATCAGGAACACGGCTGGCTCAGGAGTGGCCCAGGCGGAGTGAGTGGATCAGAAGGTGATTAATACATGGAGAAAGAGAAAGGTCACTGGCTCAGGGGGTGGTCTATGCTGGACATGCCAGACTCTCTGAATCACAATACCTCCTTTATGAGATAGGGGTGATGATAKCCACATGTTGGGGACATCACATGCCAGGGGTCTACCACAACTCTTGGCTTGGATTTGGTGTTCTAAACATGCTCATATGCATCTCCTGTCCTTTCCATCCTTGAGGGCGAAGGTTAGCATCCATCCCACCCAGGAGCATTGCTGACGTGCTTATTCGCAGTACGCCTCCTACTCTCTGCTCCCTCTGGAGGAGGAGAACCTCTCCAGGTCAGGGCGCATAGAAAATTGATTGGAATCAGCTGCAGCATGGCTTAATTGGGAACATATGCTTGGAGAGGGAGCCCAACTAGTTGGAACTTTTCATAATTAGTTTGCAGCTGGTTGGTGAGGAAGCAAATCTCCAGTTACCTCTTAGAGCTGGGTTTGTGGGTGCACTCTTGTGCTCAGGGAAGATTGGTCATTGCACTGGCCTGTGTGGGGACTGGCTGTGATGATGCCGTCCTCTCTGAGGGTCATTGGTTATGTGCACACTGGCCAGAGGTGATGTGCTACATTGCTAATGTAGCTACAGGTGGGCAGGGTACCAGGGCCTATCTGCACAGGAGGGCCTCCCACCAGCGGTCAGGTGGACGCAAGTTTAGGCTGTTGCTGCCAAGGTTGTGAAGAGGCCCAATTTGGAGATGGAGGCCTAGGCCTAGGTAGCTGGCATGTGAAGGATGAACTCAGACCTACCATTTCCTACAGTAGATGGTGGAACTGTGACAGTGTTCTCAAATGAGGATAAGAATTTGGCACACCTGGTGGACCTCCAGATCTATGGTCCCCAGACCATTTCTAGGGCTGTTGGTGCAGCCACAGCAGCAGGGCATGCAGGAGACCTAGTCCTGTCCCTGAGGCCTGCAGCCTAGGGCATTCTGCCCACCCAGAGATGCTAGTTCTCCTCTCCTGGAGTCTCTGAGTCAGTGGTCTCCTGTTCCCTACCCTAGGCACTGGCCTGGGACCAAGAACCTAGCAGCAGGGACCTCAGAGTCCTTTTTTCCTACCTTTTATCCTAATAGACCCCATCCAGTGTCCCTCTTCATGGTAGGTGGGCCCTGGCCCTTGAAGACTTAGCCTCCAACATCTGGGGTTGTGTCAGCACTCTCCCCAGGACGTGGGCCTCCCTTGTAGGCTGTCTTGAGAGCATGCAGCTCCTAGAGTGCCCAGCATGTCCCTGATAAGCCAAGTCAATGCTGTAGCTGTTATGGTTATTCATGGTAATATCACGGGCCTCACGGTCTCATGTTGGTGATAAGGTACATGGTTTTCCATGTAGTTCTGATGGGCTAGAACCAGGTCCAGTGCTCTGATCACCTGGAGCACAGAGGAGCTTGTCCATGCATTGGCCTGCCTGTGCTGGACACTGACTTCCCAGCAGGACAGGCTGTTTCCACTCAGCAACAGCAAGTTTCCATGAGGACATGCAGCACAGATCAAGCCCTGGTGCTCTGTGGGTACCCCCTTTAGTCAGTGTCACCCATTAGTAATGGGGCCAGCATTTAAACCCAGTCCTCCTGGATATCCCCCAGCATTTTATTATGAGCATTTTTAAGCACACAGAGAAGTCAGAAGAATGTTACAGTGAATGCCTGCTTACCCACCACCTACATCCTGCCAGGAATGCTGCTCTACAACATCTCTACCCATCCCTCCACATCCATCAGTCCGTTTTATTCTTTTGATGCATTTTAAAGTAAATTGCAGACATCTGTACACTTTCCTCTAAATACTTCAGCATGCATGTAATTAAGCAGAATTCATCTCTGAGGTTCTGAAGCCTATGCCCCCGCCATCCCTCGGTATCATCTAATCAGGGTGCTTTACCAGGAAAGTTGGTGGTCGAGGCTGATGGACCCCTCCCCTGAGACTTCCCCTGCTCTCCAGAGTGAGGCTGCCCTCCGAGGGTACCTCCAGGCCTGGCCTGGCCTATTCCTCCCTCCGGCTGGGTGAGGCTGCTATGCAGCCTGCCTGAAGTGCTGCTTAGGAAGGAGCCCAGACGAGCTGCCCAGTGACATTTAAAATAAGTGTATCTTTTTTGGAAATGGAGTGGGTAGAAAATTGCTGGTTTCCCTCTGAGCAGAAAGCTTCCAGTGCCTAGAGACCTCCCCGCTCCTGTCTGCGTCACAGGAAGTAGCACCAGGCTCCCAGTCTCACCTCCTCCTTATCCCCAAGCCTGCCCCCTATTGATGCCCTGACAGCCTGAGTGCCTTCCCTGCAGTGCCCAGGAGCTGCCCACCCTGGGCCCTCCTGGAGCCTGCTGGTCCCTCTCACCACTGGCTGCTGCCCCAGGGGCAACCCATTTGCCCTGGATCTGTGCCACTCCCCTGGCCTGCCTGCCAAGCCTCTCTGCACACTTCAAAAGCAGCTTCAGCCCCACCTGTCCAGACCCTAAGGCAGAATGGGCTCTTCTCAGGAGCCCTTATACCTTTGTTCTGCTGTTGATCCCCAGCTCTTGGCCAGGACAGTTGATTTCTTGGCAGCCCACTGCAATACTTGTGGAATGTTC